TTTCCTTCACAGATGCTGCCAGACCTGCTGAGCTTTTCCAGCAACTTTGTTTTTGACCCTGTTCTATGAGTCCACTTGACAGCTTTCCAATCTGCAGTTCATCTATGCAGTGCAGCTGCACAGTCAGTCCAAAGTTCCACACACTGTGCGCAGCCAGAAAGAAAATTAGAGGGAACACTGCCATGGTCTTCTGCCCCAAAATTCTATCAGGGACAAAAACAGAAGTTATTGGAAATCAGAGATATTGGAACAGAAATTGTACCTCATTATATCTGCATTATGTCTACAAAACAGATGCAATGGGATCCACTTTCAGGTTCAACATGCCTGACCTCATGTAGGTCAGACCATTTTCAAATCCTCCAGGGAGTCACATTAAACAATTTTTTTAAAAAGAAGGATCTAATGCTTTAGGCTCCTTTTGAGAAATTGGGCTACCTCGAGTGGCCCTGCTTCACAAGCAGGATTGTATAAGTATATTTGGCCATTTGGATGATGTATTGTCATATATTATGATTATGATTGTCACAATTATTATGATGAGTCATTTTCTAAAATCCTTGCGTCTACATTTTTGAGCACTGAAGATGATTTTCTGCTCCTACCTGATCCTTGAAAACTGGCCTCAAAGCCAACAGCTGACTGAACAGTAGCGCTGGTCTACAATTAGATTTCTTCAACATATATGGTTACTCACAGATTTTCCAGGTTGTCCATTCTCGCCGACTGGTCCAGGAGGTCCCACTGGAACATCACCATAAAGTGGGCATGCACTGGAACACTTTCGTCTCACTAAACTTGCATATAGTGATATTTGTTCAAGAACAAGTCTTTTGCACACCTCAATCACATGACTGGCTGGGAAGATTGGCCCCTAAAATACACAAAAACCTTTAGAAAAGAATGCTACAAATATTCCAACTGCTGTAATATGTTGTATTATTTATATATCTATATTAATCTATGAATATGCATGATAATGTTCCACCTGCTCATTAATCTGTGAAAAATATCAATTACAACTTCTTACAAATTTTTAAAAATGTTTGCAATATCATTGGAAGACAATTGTTTTATACCTGAATAACAAAGGTTCTTCTATCAGTCTCTTTCAGAAAATATTTACTTGGCAGATAATTTATTATTAGAAAATTACTTCCTTAATATATAACATATTGTCGAACCTCAGGTTTACTGGCTACTTAAAATATAATTGCTCCTGTTTGCAAGATTATCAAGTTACTAACAAGAATACTGATTTTTAAAATCTAACTTCATTATTAGAAAGTAACATTTAATCTTTTAGCTTATTAACACAACTTTCTAAACATCTCATTTGTACAAAAGTGAGAAAACGAAAGTGAGAAAACTTAGAAGCAAGGCACGCCATTGAAAATATGCCAAGGTAGAGGGGTCTGGGTGTTTCTGTCAAATTATTCAAGCTTTCTCAACAAAAGTAGACAAAACCTTGAATGCTGTCTGTGGAAAAATGAGTTGAGAGAATAGAATGTAGGCATCTTTCTCTACTAGATAAGGAACTGTGGCGCATAAAAGCATTCAGATACAAAGATCATTATACAGCCACATAATTTATTCCTGGTTAGAAGACTGGGGTGAGGGCAGAATTATTTGGATAATAGCCAGCATAAATTATGCCTTGGATTTGCCTTCTTTGCAGTGGGAAGACCATACATAGACAAGAACAATACAAGAGACAAGGGAGAGGGAGGGGAGAGGAGGGAGAGAAAAAGAGACAGGGAGGAAGGGAGGAAGGGAGAAAGGGAGACAGTTTGAAGACCAAAAGATCAAAGCTGCGAGAAAAACTACTTTCTGCCGCCCAGATATTTCACGCTAAAACAGATCACCACCAAAGTTTGTTGACATTGTTTATTTGAGAACTTAATAGGCTTGCCCTGAATTTGTCTCAATAAGTTGATGTACAATTTGCTGCTGTCTATTCCTGTCTCAATTTGTGCCAAAAGTACCAAAATCTTACTTTTTGTCAGTTTATATTTCTGTACCATTGATTTATTCTTACATTAATGGTCATATGACAGAATATTTTTAGATCCAAATATACCAAAGATTAGATTTACAACATGGATGCACACAGTTTTGCATGTCACTGTTTATTTCACTTACTGGAGGTCCAGCAGCTCCAGAGGATCCAGCCAGGCCTGCATCACCAGTTATACCTTGTTCTCCAACTGGGCCCCGATTACCGGGTTTGCCAGGAGGCCCTCGTTTACCTGCGAGACCCTCTGGCCCAGAATCCCCTTCATCACCAGACTAGAAAATAATGTAAAAGGTTTTTGAAGGAAAATACGAACATAAAGTAGTAATGAGTTGTATTTGTATTGCATATTTAAAGCAGCAAGTGTCCCAAGGTGGAATCAAACAAACTGGATGTTGACTCAGAGGAAGAGATAGTGGGGAGGCGGGGGGTGCAGGGACAAAAGTTTGGTCAAAAGCTGGGTTTTCATGAGAAGGAAGAAGTGAAGGGACATGGAAAGGAATTCCAGAGCACGGGATCTAGACAACTGAAAATATGTCTCGTTATAGGGTGAAAGGAGGGGAAGACAACTCTGCTTCCCAAGAAACAGAGTAATGAGCACAAGCATGACCTATCTAATAATGGATTTTCCTTTCAGAGTTTTAATAATAGAAAACTTGCCCGCATAACACCACTGGCTACAACCTCAAATTTCAATTTAATTTGGTTATTACTGCATATACATTCAGAAGAATGCCAAAATTTAACTTCAACTTCAATGCTTTCAGCTTCAACACTTTAAGTTTTCACAAATGCATGAACTTTTGTAAAATACTGTGCAGTGCGCAGTGAGCTGACAATATCCCTATCATACAGTAACTGGCTGGGCTGCACAATCTTCACGCTGTATCAACCGCACGCCAGCTGGGCTTCAGCCTTCTGCTGATTTCCTGCACAATCTAGCCAGTCATTAATACCCGGTTTCTCCCCGGGACAGATGCAAGGCCCAGTGCACAACCATACACTCTGGGTGATGCAGGTCATCCAGGCATTAAAGGGAATATAGGTAGCATAGGTGAGGAGCAAGCGAAGCTGGTCAGATCAGCCCAGTGTAGGTACTCAGGATGGCTGTTCTGGCTATGGCTGGTGTCTGCTACTGGGTCATGGTGCAGGCTCTGTAGCAGCCAGTTACTGAATCAAATAAACGCTCAGAATCAATTATGGAGCATCCTGCCACCCGCTGCAACCACTCCAAGTCGTGTCTGAATGTTTCAGTCTTTATAAGGCATCTTTAAGGCAGCTTCCTTTGTGGTTTGTTGATTTAGATGCCATTCAGGTAGCAGTTGCTGTGTCCAGTGTAGTTGAAGTGAGCAGAGAGGAAGGCAGTGGGCAGTGCTTTGTCTAGTGCAAGAACATCAAGTGTGTTTTATAGATGTATTTTTATAGCAACTTTTCTTTTACTGAGCATGTTTAACACAATTTCTAAATTGTTGTTTCACAAAGATTCCAGGACATATTTGCTAACATTTTCCTCCAATGAAGTAATTAAGTTATAGAAATTCAAACCTTTAAAACATGTGAGAACACAAACTAATTACAAGCATTTAGAAAGTGAAAAAAAAAATCACATTGCAACCACAAATAGTGATGCTTTAACATATCTCAAGCACTTAACAAACCAATTAACCAGTATGAGTGTCAAATTCAATAATCCCATTGTGTGGGTTGCACCTATTTAAGAAAATATCTGAATGCAAACAAAATAAGTCTGTTACATTAATCGTGCATTCTACAATTCAATGTTATGTCAACTTGTTTATATGCATTAACTGTGCATTAGTATATAACATTCACAGATGAAACAGCATCCAAAGCATCGAGTATGCTTAAATAATTACAAAGCACCATCTGACACTTTCATAGAGCATGAAACATTCACTGTACTTGGACGTGTTGTAGCTTGAGCATCAGTATTCAACATATTCACTTGAACTAAGCAGCACAGGTGAAAACAAGGGAAAGAAGCAACAAATTGTACTGAGAAGGATAAACAGGATTAAGTAACAAACTTAGGTGAGGAAGGGGTAGCACCAAGGTTGATTTGGAACCTGGAACACTGTGTCCTTAATGAACAGTATGTGGGTACAAAATTTATTTGGACTGTATTTAAGTAGTGATTAGAGTACCATTAATCGAACTCTCACTTTATTTTATACCAACTAAAGGGTAGCTAAATATTTATGATGACTCCAAAATGCCTGCTATTTACCTTGACTAGAATTTTCCTCTTAATCCGAGATTACGGAGTTAGGACAATCGCAGCTCTGCAAACCTGGCCCATAAATTGGAACTTTTATTTGGGATTGACGGTGCACCGGGTGCCGGGTTTGGTGTGAGCAGGGAGACTGCCGCCAAGCGGACTGGCCAGAATACCTGCCTTGGTATTCAAGCATCTTGTAGAAGTCCTTTATCCAAAAAAAATTAAGCATAAAATAACTCTCCAGCCCTCACAACCCTTTATCACGCTCTTTCACACACTCCTCATGTCCCATCCATATCAACTCATGCCACCTCTGTCCACTCATAAACCCGTCATATCTTTCATGCAAACTTTTCTCCACCATGGCGCTTTATAACTCCCAAACCAACCTGGGTGTCAACTCATCCCAACCTTCGCTCCCACTCACTATTCTTTGTCCTTTCACCTTTGCCAACTCACCTAGTATGTCCATGGTTAGAACTCTGGGTGCATTTTCAGTATTTAAGAAAAGACCACTTCAGATATTTATTTAAAAGATTTACAGGGCAGGAATTTTAAATGCCTTGACCACTTGATAGTTCCTTTGACCATTCCTCTTGATACTTTCAGCAGTTGCTAATGACAGTTAGTTTTGGCAGTTCCTCCAGATATCTTTGACCATTCCTCTTGCCAGTTCCAATGAGGTTCACTCTTTCACAAAGAGTTTATGCACTCTTTATACATATTCATGCCAATTTTTAACAATCCCAGAGGGCATTCGACCTTCCATAAAGATGTCCATAAACTGTATCCTAAGGGGTACATTACTCTTCCAAATAGGTACCCTGGCTAACCAAGCAAATCCACAAAGTTCAGATCCTTTCCTAGCAAATCTAATCTGTACGCACCACATTTTATACACCTGGGTCATCAAAATCAGACATGATATAAATAGCTGTTGGTTTGTATAGGCAGCTGCCCCTATGAAAAAAAATGCTCATGGGGAAATATGACCCTGCCTTTGCAAAAATGGTAGGTGCTTTGAACAAGAGCAGGACTTCTGATTATTGGCCTCCTTTACTATTTTCACCAATAGAGGCCCTCTGTAGTTCCAAAAATCCAGGTCCCACTGTTTGAATTATACTTCATTATCCAGCACTTGTTACCTGTAACAGCATCCTCTTGCAGCTATTTGCAAATATATGTACATAAATTCAAGCCAGTATAAGATCACTTTTTTAGTTAGGTAGTAGACTCCATGAGCTGCATATTATCTTGTTTCTGTTCTGCAAAGATGTCACACTCTGGGAATAAGGTTAGTCTGATTCACTACCCAAAAATTTGGGACAGTAAACCAGCAGAGGAACCTGAGAGTTTCATTTTGCTGAGAAATAGTTTAAAATTCTAGTGTTAGTGTAAGGCTGCTCACTCAGGTGGACCGATCTTCAAAGGTGACTGCTCCAAATCATTATAATTGCGCGATTGGAAGACCATTCATGACAGAAAGTCATACATGTGTGAATGGCGAGAGATGTGTTCTAATTTGTAACAATATCCAAAAAATCCTGGTAATCCAGCTGTTAACTGAGAAGTAAGGAAAAGGAAATGAGTGATCTTTGCGACTAAAGCAGGCCCAAAAGTATTTGAAGTGCTTAAGAACTTGCTCACTCTGCTAACCCAAAAGATATGCCATTGTCAGAAGGGTTCTGCGGAAGGGACACTGGACCTGAAATGTTAACTCTGATTTCTCTCCTTGGATGCTGCCAGACCTGCTGAGCTTTTCCAGCAATTTCTGTTTTTGTTTCTGATTTCTAGCATCTGCAGTTCTTTTAGTTTTTATTCAGGGTGTATGAAATACTGGGAGGTAGATAATACTGAAATAGAAAAACGTAAGTTATTAGGTTGAGTTGGAGTTAGGGAGAAAGTAATGAAGTGTAAATCAGGGATACTTTGTAGGTTTATGTATGTATGGAGCATAGTTAATAAGACTGAGAAGTTACAGACACAGACTGCCTTGTTGGGATTATGATGATGGTGATGATAATTAAGTACACTTTGTGTGTTAAAATGTTTCTAGTTACATGGTGTTCAGAAGAGACTGGTAAGGAAATAAAGGAGGACGGATGTCATTTTTGATTAAGGAACAGTCATGGAAAAAGATGATGTTTCTGACGATTCAAATGACAGAATTGACTTGGCCACATCAAAGGAATAAGAAGGGTGAAGTGCATTGTTCAGTGTAATATATGGTCCACCAGCTAATGGGAAGGATATAGAGGAACAAATTTGCAAGGAAATTACAGAAAGATGCGAATGTCACTGATAGTAATAATGAGTGACTTTAACTACCCATACATGGACTAGCAAAGTTGTTTAAGAGACAGCAACGGACAAACGTTCCTAGATTATGTCCAGGAGAATTTCCTGCAGCTGTATGTGCCCAACAAAAAAGAAGGCACAGCCAGATTCTTGCGAATCAGGAGAGCCAAATAGATCAAATGACAGTGGGGGAACATTTAGGGGACAGCGATCATTATATCATAATGTTTAGGATAATGGTAGAAAATGACATTGGTCAATCCAGTGTAAGAATATTGAATCAACTTCTGGACAGCAGACTTTTATGGGGCAAGAACAGAGTTGGGCTCAATAAACTGGAACAAAGGGTTGGACAGAAAATAGTACGTGAACAATGGGCTACCTTCAAAAGAGAAGATAGTTTAGGCACAGTGAAGGTAAATATATTGCAAAGGGAAAGCTAGGAGAAACAGATTCAGACCTCCTGGATGACAAAGAGGTAGAAAATATTAAAGAATAAAAACTATGCTTATGACTGGTGTATATAGTAAAGAGAGTTAAAAACCAAAGCTGAATTACAGAAGGTTCAGGAGGCGAAAAGGTATAATGAGAAAAGTCAGCTAACATACAAAGAAATTCCAAAGTTTTCTATCAGGACATCAATAGCAAAAGGGTGGTAAAAGAAGAGAAGAAATTATTGACCAAAAAGAGGATTTACATTTAGAGGCAAGAGGAATAGTTGAAACGGTAAATGAATAC